ACAGCCCTGTTTTGGAAATATTTCCTTTTTGCTTTGCTTTTAAAATTTCCATGGGTCTGTGAATCTCCCCCCGGTACAAAACTCGGCCGCTCCTGCTTTAACACTGCTACATGAGGTGCCCATCTGCGCGGGATTGAATTACCTGGGGCTTACAAAGCCGTACGAATCCCCGCCGACCCCCCCAGCTCAATCCTCCCCCAGCAAATCCCCTGCCTGCACCAAGTCGAAGTGGTTTTTCACCCCAGCAGCCGGTTTGCATCACCAGCACCTTTTGGCAAAGTGATTTATTTTTTCCTCCCCCCCCAACCCGAGGTCCTGGAGCAGGGTCAGTGAGGGAGGAGCAGCCACCCCCCCCAACCCGGCCCTGCCTGCTGTTGTAGGGCTGGAGTAACCCCATCTTCAGGCATCTCTGCCCCTTGTTTTGGTTAAACTGGGGTTTAAGCAGCCCTGTGGGCTCTGAACCTCCCTCCTCATTATGCACTTATCAAAATAGTTGGAGATTTTTTTTTTTCCCTCCCAGGGCAGCCACCAGCTCGTGGATGCCAGACGGTTACTGCTCCTCCTCCGCGAGGCTGAGTCACCCCAGGGGGCTGGGGACACCCACGGCTGGTTTCTCTTTGGTTTTGGTTTTGGTTTTAATCATAGAATCATAGAATGTTTTGGGTGGGAAGGGACTTGGTTTACTTTTTTGTTTACCCAAAAGGGTCAACCACAGCCAGATTTCAGTGCATCAGCAGAATAAACCTCCCCATCTCCCTGGCAGCGCTGGTGTTGCGGCAACCGGGATGTGCGTTGCCTTGGCTTGCCAAGACCTTCCTCATCCTCCGTTGTTGGTTGTAATGCCCAAACACCCCTGAACCCACCCGGCCTCTGACACCCCTTCCCAGCACATCACTAGAAACCCTCTGCACCCACCAGGTCCTTGGTTTCCCTTTGGCTCAGCGTCTCCCCACCAGTGGTGTCTGATGACTCTGGGAGGAGCAGCAGAGCAAACGGCTATGATCCTCCTCATCCTCATGCTGGTTTGCTGTCCCTGGGGTGGGTCACCCGTCCCCTCCGCAGGGTCCCACTCTCACCGCGTCCCTCCTAAGCCATCTTCCAACGCGTCCGTCCTTGGTGTGCGGCAGTTCCTACCCGTGCTGACCAGCCCGGTGCTTGTGATTAGCTTTGTGCTCTATATTTTTCTGGTGTTTCTCCAGATTTTAGGTAAACCACAGATTTTTTTTTAATCCCCCCTGCCCCTTCCACTCCAACAGCTCATTTTCGTAGAATCATAGAATGTTTTGGGTGGGAAGGGACCCCTAGAGGTCACCCAGCCAACCCCCCTGCAGGAGCAGGGACACCTTGAACCACATCAGGTTGCTCACAGCCCCGGCCAACCTGGCCTGGAATGTTCCCAGGGATGGGGCCTCCACCACCTCTCTGGGCAACCCCTGCCAGGGTTTCACCACCCTCACTGTAAAGAATTTCTTCCTTAGATCCAGTCTAAACCTACCCTGCTTCAGTTTAAAGCCATCCCCCCTTGTCCTGTCCCAGCTGGCCCTACTAAAAAGCTTGTCCCCCCCTTTCCTCTGGGCCCCCTTGAAGCCCTGACCGGCCGCACTCAGCTCTGCCCGCAGCCTTCTCTTCTCCAGGCTGAACACCCCCAACTCTCCCAGCCTGGCCTCAGAGCAGAGGGGCTCCAGCCCTCGGAGCATTTTAGTAGCCCTCTCCTGGCCCCGCTCCAACAGGTCCATGTCCTCCTTGTGCTGAGGGCTCCAGAGCTGGATGCAGGGCTCCAGGTACTCAGTTGCATCTTTTCATCCAAGGAGAAAGGAACGACACTCTAGAAAACCTGGCAGCCTCCTCCAGACCACCTCAAAGCTCCCGTGACCCCCTCGCCACTTCCCGGCCTCCTGCAAGCACCCGCGCCGCTCCCCGCTTCCCACCCAGCTTCTCCCAGCTCCCATCTTCGGCGGGGGCCGTGCGGGGAAGGGCTGCGGTTGAAAGCAGCCTCTGCCTTCCCACGCCCCTTCCCCGACCTCCTCGCCTTTTCTGCTCGGCGTTCCCTGCCTTATCGCCTCCCCCAGCTGCAAAATCGGGCCCCTGCTTCAGCGCAGCAAGCAGAGCCCCGTGGAGGTGGTTGGGGATGGACAGGCAAGGAGGACAAATCTTCTCCCCCCACCTTTCCTCTCCACCTTACGCCTCCCCATCCCGCATAGCCTCAGGCTGTGAAATTGGAGGTAAATATTTTTCAGTGAGCCATCCCCGTCACACACCCAGCTTCGGGGCTATTCCCGGCCAGGCACGTTGCCAAACCCCGGGCGCCCCCTGCCAGGAGCGTGCACGCCGCTCCTCCGTTCGCGTGCCTCCCGGGACCGCCTGGGCTTGCCGGGCAGCCGGGAGGTGCCAGCACCCAAAAGAACAAGCCCGTGGGCGTGGGGCAGAGCTGGGAGCATCCCCGGCACGTCCTGGGCACACGGTCCTGGCTGCGGTCCCATTTGCAGTGCGACCAAGGAATGGGAGGAATCTCCCGGCAGCATCGGGCCCCCCCTTCCCCCTGCTTTTATGGGAGCAAGGATGCAACCTGTCCAAGAGCAGGTGGTGCAAAAAAATACGAGGCTCGCTGCAGAAACGCAAGCAGCGATGGGGAAATGCGGGGTTTCCTCCCAGCACCTGCCTGCGAGGGAGCACGTTTGGCTCATGCCCGGGGAAGATGCTGCAGGCGTTGCTGTTGCCTGCCCCAATCTGTCCCGTTCACGACCTGGAGGTGCAGGGGAGCAGCCATCCGCTGGCACCCCTTCCCCACCCCTCCTTGCCTCCCTCCGGCCCCGCTGCCGTGCCAGGATGGGATAACCTGAAGCTGGGCGCTGGAGCATCCCCAGCCAAGCAGCATCCCTGGCTCCTCTCTTGGGGTGTTTTTGGGTCCTGGTGCTCCCCCGGTGGGCAGCGGGATGGTGGTGCTGAGCGGGTGGGTGAATCCCTGGCAGTGTCCCTATTCCCAGGCAGCCGCAGCATCTCTGCCGCTTGCCGAGTCCCTGCTCCGTGGGCAGGGGGTCGAGGGGCCTCCCCGCAAAGAACCCAATTTCATTTCACTGCCGACTGACAGGCTGGAATACACCATCGTAAACCCAACTTGCACATGGATCGATTTTCCTGCTCACCACCCTGAGCCCGGTGTGCCGAGGCTGTTTTCCACCCCGGCGCTCCATCAGCACCCTTCAAATTAGGCGATGGCAGGGGGCTGCCCGCCTGCCTCCCCTCCCCGCACCCCCGGGGCTGCTTCCCCACTGCCTGCCTGGTCAGGATGGGGGCCAAGGCTGCCGCCTTAGACTCTCCTGCCCTCATCCTTGTATTTTTGCCGGGGGTTTTTTTTGGTGGGATTTTGTTTGGGCAAGCTCAGGCTAAGGCAGCGGGACGGAGCAGCGGGCTGGCGCGGCGGCAGGGGGGGGGGGCTGTATCATTGGGGAGCTACTTACGGCCCTGCCGCAGCAGAATCTGACCACAAAAACCAGGAGCGGCAGCTGAATATTAAATAAAAGATTTGACGTTTATTTAAAATAAAATGCATTTGTACATAGTCTTGAAACCACAGGCTACAGGCACGCAACGCTGGTTATTCCTCGGCATTAGGTGGGGCAGGAGATGGCTCCCCGTTAGCGTTAACGCTGCGCTGGCTTAACGAACGGGGAGGTCCTGGCCCCAGATATCGGTTATCGACGGGTGTTGTGGCGCAGCTCTGAAATCCTATTTAACTTAGATAAAAATTTACTGGACTGAAAATGTTTATTTTTTGGTTTTTTTTTTTTTGTTTGTTTGTTTGTTTTGTTTCTTGGTTACTCCCCTTCCTCTCCATACAAGCATACTATAGTTAATGCTGATGCACCAGATCTATGCAATATTCTAGCTGGCTTGTGAGACTAGTTAAAAAAAACTGTACAATCTTATAAAATTTGTGTTTTTTACATTAGTTACACAAAACCTATACTTCATAGACCTTTACTTCATATGGTAATGAAAAAGTTTGCATATCATAGGCAGAACAGTGACTATGCTGGTGAATACTAAAAAGTGTCATAATACAATATGGTGTAAAAATAAAATAAAATTAAAAAAAAAAAAAAAAGACAATATAAATGATTATCAAAAAGGCAAGTTAACAAATAAACCCAAGCTATAACAGACTAACACAAGGTCATCTTTGAGGCCACACGCAGCCATCTGCAAAGTCATGTCAGGCACCTGTAGCAGTCCCGGTGCGTGTAGTGTGAAAGGAGAGATGGCAATTCTGCTCACGGGTAGGACGACTTCAGAACAGGTCAAATGTACAGGATAAAAAAAAAAAAAACAAAACACACACAAAAAAAAAGAAAGAAAACACTCATGCATTAAACATGATAAATAGACTTCATATAGGTTAAGCCCTGGATGGCTTTACAAGAAGATGGCTTAGAGTTCTCTTAGAAAAATTGGCTATTTTTACGTCAGTCAAATGTTATCCTGATCTGCCCGTCAGATTCTGCATCTAAAGGCCAGCGGCACGATCCCCTGGCCCAGACACGGTCTTGTTATAGCAAATTAACAGAAGTGCTCATTAGTGCACACAGATTAACTGGTCTGGTAATGCAAAAATTTTCATGATAAAAAAAAAAAAAAAAAAAAAAGATACATTTCAAGCTTACTTTATTAAGCAGCATATTCCAAACAGCTTTTTAAAGTTAAATATTAATATGGCCATGGGGTTTCCTCGCGGGGCACAGTACGTGGGACTCACACCCAACCACTGGTCAGTTTGTAGAACATCTCTTCGTCTAAGCTCTCATTCTGATCTTTCGCTCGTGTCGACAAGAAGATGTAGCCGCCGATGAACTCGTGAACCACTTTGCAATCCACCTCCGTGCAAATGAAGGACACCCGGACGTCATCTGCAAACTCCACCGTCACCTAGAGGGCAAACCCACAGGCGTTAGCCCCCCCCCGGCGCCTCCCCGCAGGAGTCACGCTGACGCGCGCTCTCCCTTTCCGCCTTATTTTCCTTTCTTGATAAACCAGGCGCCTTTTCCGCTGCCCAAGCGAAAAAACAGCGACGTAAATGATGATTTGGACTCGATGGTGTATTGGGTTTGTGTGGCAAGGTCTTGGTAGCAGGGGGGGGCTACAGGGGTGGCTTCTGTGAGAAGCTGCTAGAAGTTTTCCCTGTGTCCGCCGCT